CTCCAGCCTGGGCAACAGAGCAGGGCTCTACCTGGTGAAAAAAAAGAAGAACCAGTAAAGCAATTGGCAAATCTTGAATTTGGGGTAGTCTAGGACATAGGTGGGGGCAGGGAACATTCTTCTAGATTGAAAGAGATTTAAAAGAACTAAGAAGCAAATGCAATTCATGGCTCTTGTTTGGTTTCACATAACAAGATATCTAGCAGAAAGTTCCTTTGGCCGGCCGGGCACTATGGCTCATGCCTGTAATCCTAGCACTTTGGGAGGCTGAGGTGGGTGGATCACCTGAGGTCAGGAGTTCAAGACCAGCCTGGCCATATATATATATGAAAACATTTGTGTTTTCTCTGTTTATATATGTTTTTGTTTGTTTGAGACACAGTCTCGCTATGTCATGCCGGCTGGAGTGCAATGGTGTCATCTCAGCTGACTGCAACCTCCACCTCCCAGGTTCAAGCAATTCTCCTGTCTCAGCTTCTTGAGTAGCTGGAATTACAGGCATGCACCACCACACCCGGCTAATATATATATATATATACAGAGAGAGAGAGAGACAGACAGACAGACAGACAGACAGACAAAGTTTCACCCTTATTGTCCAGGCTAGAGTGCAATGGCATGATCTTAGCTCACTGAAACCTCCAACTCCTAGATTGAAGTGATTCTCCTGCCTCAGCGTCTTGGGTAGCTGGGATTACAGGCATGTACCACCACACTGGCCTAATTTTGTATTTTTAGTAGAGATGGAGCTTCTCCATGTTAGTCAGGCTGGGTTAGGCATCTTGCAAGCTTTATGGAGGAATCTGACTTGCTTAAAATCAGGTACCTGTAGGTGTCTTGAAAGCAAGCCAGGAAGTTTTGATCCCTTACTTTTTTTCTTTTTCTTTTCTTTTTTTTTTTTTTTTTTTTTTTTTTCTTTTTTTTGAGACGGAGTTTCGCTCTTGTTACCCAGGCTGGAGTGCAATGGCGCAATCTCGGCTCACCGCAACCTCCGCCTCCTGGGTTCAGGCAATTCTCCTGCCTCAGCCTCCTGAGTAGCTGGGATTACAGGCACGCGCCACCATGTCCAGCTGATTTTTTTTTTTGTAGTTTTAGTAGAGACGGGGTTTCACCATGTTGACCAGGATGGTCTCGATCTCTTGACCTCGTGATCCACCCGCCTCGGCCTCCCAAAGTGCTGGGATTACAGGCGTGAGCCACCGTGCCCGGCCGATCCCTTACTTTTATGTTGAAAGTGTCAGACCAATAGAAAGTTTGAAAGGGTGGATATCCTTATATACTTTTTCCCTGGATTCACCCCATTGTTAACTTTTTGTTACATTCATGTTTTCTCTGTTTATATATGTTTTTGTTTGTTTGAGACACAGTCTCGCTCCGTCACCCAGGCTGGAGTGCAATGGTGTCATCTTAGCTCACTGCAACCTCCACCTCCCAGGTTCAAGCAATTCTCCTGCCTCAGCCTCCTGAGTAGCTGGAATTACAGGCATGCACCACCACGCCCGGCTAATTTTATATTTTTAGTGGAGACGGGGTATCTCTCTTTGTCAGGCTGATCTCAAACACCCGACCTCAGGTGATCTGCTCACCTTGGCTTCAAAAAGTGCTGGGATTCAAGGTGTGGGCTACCATGCTTGCTTATATATTTTGTTAAATTGTGGAAATTTCTGAAAGTTTCAGATTTCCAGATGGGTTCCCGCTGTGTATCAATATGTATCTCCTAACAATGAAGCCATTTATTTTTTACTATAATTTTATTGTACTTAATTTAACACTGGTAGAACATTATGTGAGATAGAGTCCATACTAAGATTCTCACATTTATTTGTTCCCAATTCTCTTTCCCTTTCTTTCCTTCTTTCTTTCCTCCTTCCTTTCTTTTTCTTTTCTTTCTTTCTTTCTCTTTCTTTCTTTCTTTCTTCTTTCTTTCTTTTTCTCTTTCTTTCTTTTCTTTCTTTCTTTCTTCTTTCTTTCTTTCTTTCTTTCTTTCTTTCTTTCTTTCTTTCTTTCTTTCTTTCT